CCAGGGATTTAATGAACTTTCTCTATCAGCCAAAACAGATTTACCATAGTTGGCCATAATTTAATGTCCATACCAAGGAAAGGACACGCCCTATTAGTTGTCAGAGCATTTTCTTAAATGCATTTCACCAATTACTTTGTGCATTGTCATTAACTTTTTAAAGTGACGTTTGTTCTCTATGTTCTGTCAAGATCCAAATCTGCTGCTTTCTTTGAGACAACTAATTCTACACAAGATAATCATTTTGACTCTTCATAAATTACTCGGGGTTTTTTATTTGAAGAGCTTTTAATTAGGATTAGGTTAGATAGGGCTAAGGTTAGGGACAGGTTAGAGTTAGGTTAGGTAGGGTTAGGGTAGGTTAAGGTTTTGATTGTATTTAAGCCTATTCACCATACCATGTTGAAGTGTGGTAACTACAAACAGACAAGGTTCATAATTATTTTCAACATTATTTTGTTTTTCAGTATGGCTTAAGGTTGACCCTACTGTCCACACCAAGGAAAGTGTATTGTCCTTTAGTTATGAGAGCATCTGCTTTATACAGAAGTTGGCAATTTCGACTGTTCCTAAATTTGTAGAGTTTATTAATACTACTACCTCCTAAAACTATTTCTTGAGGCACTGCATTCAACATGTACATGTTTCTGAACTGGGTGCAAAATTTTTGCGCCATCATTTTCACATTACCAGTAAATGCACACAGGTTGGTTTAGGTTAAGTAGGGTTAGGGCCAGCCTAGGCTAAGTTATATAGGGTTAGGTTTCTGCTTGTATTTAAGCCCATTCAATTCCGACAAGTAAATTTCATCCATCACCTTTCCCACAAAGTAAACAATAAACTTTTTTATCTCAACTAAAAACCTTAATTAATTGAAAGATATTAATTTGTCAAGCGGACCACAAAAAGTAGTGAATTTGGATAAATATTAATTTATTATTAGAGCTTTTTAATTATGGTTAGGCTAGGTAGGTTTTTATGTTGTATTTAGGCCCATTCAATTCCAACATGTAGATTTAATCCATACCATGTCCAAGTAAAAAACAATAAATATTAATGTATTATTATAAATCTAAATTCAACTTTGGCATGGACCGCAATTATCTTTTTTTTGTAGATTATCTGGCCAAAGACCTGTGCGCTGCTTATCACAGCATTTTATCGTACTAGCATTGTGTATTGTGAATAATTCTGTCAGAATCGACAAGTACATCTCGTTCCTCTATCAACTTGGAAATTCACTATGTTTGAAACCATAAGATTCAGTACTATAAGCAGAAATGTGTGGTGTTTAGTGAACGTTTGGTTATTAGGAGATTGTGAGATACAGTCTGGTGTGACGTAAGTTTTAGAAGAACATTTCCTTTATCGTGCCAATGTTTCGATCTTTATTGAGATCATCTTCAGGGCTCAAAGTGTTTGTCTTCTGTGTAAACGACACGCAAGAATGGCACAATTTCACAGAAGACACTGAAGATGATCTCAATAAAGATCGAAACGTTGGCACGATAAAGAAAATGTTTTTCTGAAACCTACATCACACCAGACCGCATCTCACGATTTCTGAATAAATGTAAAAATAAAAATGCATTTTCTCACATCTACTGTTGTATACAGTTTTATTCTTATTGATAATGATATTGAGAATCATACGCAGTTTCACTTTGTCAAATACAATGTCCTTATTTTTATGTTTACTGGTCATAATTGACCTATTTAATTATTTCAATTAATTATACTTTTATCTAGTCTTGATTCAGGTAATAGTATAATTAATTGAAACAATGTTCATAGAAATGTGGTTTTTAGTGGCTGTTAGCCAATGATTATTTGGAGATTGTGAGATGCGGTCTGGTGTGATGTAGGTTTTAGAAAAACATTTTCTTTATCGTACGAACATTTCGATCTTTATGGAGATCATCTTCAGGGCCGGGGATTTATAAATATTGTTTAAATTTTACAAATACATCTAAGATGTGAAAAAAATTATACAATGCTAGAAAATTTTAGATAAAAAAAATGAATTTATACAATGCTAGAAAATTTTAGATTAAAAAAATGAATTTACACAATGTTGTTTTTTTAATCTAAAATTTTCTAGCATTGTATAAATTTTTTTTTTACCTAAAATTTTCTAGCATTGTATAAATTCATTTTTTTGAATATAAAATTTTCTAGCCTTGTATGATTTTTTGTATAAATCTAAATTTTTTAGATTGTGTAATTTTTTTTTCACATCCTACATGTATTTGTAAAACTTAAACAATGTTTATAAATCCCAGGCCTTGAAGATGATCTCAATAAAGATTGAAACATTGGCACAATAAGAAAATGTTCTTCTAAAACCCGTGTCACCAGACCGTATCTCACAATTTCCAAACAAGTATACGTTGTTATTTTTGCTTAGTTTTTTCTTAATATCGATTTCAGAATGAGCTAGAAGAATAGAAAGTTCTTAGAGAATGAGGATAGGTTTACACATACATAAATACATATGAACTAAAAAAATGTATATTTTTTTGTCAAAAAAATTGTATATACATGTATATAAAAATGCATTCAATATTTTTAAAATGCTTACAGTAAATTCATTTGAGCTTCTTTTCATTATAAACATAACAGTTTATTTATGGCACTATATTAAGTCTTTTTGTATACATGAAACACTTACAGCTAAAAGCACAAAATAATACTCCAAAATTGTAGTAAATTTATATTTGGCAAATCAAATTGAGGAACTCAAAATATTGCTCTCAAAATTAAAACTTTAATAAAATGAAAAAACGCAACAAAAATTTTATCAATACATTTTATTCTAAACACTCAGTGCCAATTTTTGATAAATGATTAAAAAACACAGATAAATTTTTTTTAACAGTGATGGATGCACCATCACTTAATAAATAATATGAAAGGACTCGATCCTTTGATTATTTTTAAAGATTCATTTAAGCAAATCCATATTTGTTGCCTTCCACATTTATCCCTGAGCCTTTGTTCATTAACACATTGAACCCGGAGAAACGTCAATTTTAAAAGAATATTACAATAAAAAAATTTCTATTTTTTTTGTTCTCGGATTCTGCAATTTTTATGAATTTTGGATGAAAACAACGTGTTAATATTTTTTGTTAGCTGTGGGCAAATTTGAACCTTCTATATGGGAAATTGCAAGAAGTGGAGGCTGGTTGAAAAAAGCAAAAGATGTTGCAGTCAAATCAGTTTCAAATTTTTGAATCACAAGTGGTTAGAGATCTTGTTTAGATTTCAAATTTCCAACAATTTTCGTAATAAACCGACTGACCTAACTTAATCCAACACACTTTTCAAATTTATTGAATCACTTCCCGAACCTCCAGAAATATTCACATCTGGAAGGACACAAGTTGGACACTACGGGGTAGGTCGGGGGGGGGGATGGATATAGTTCAGTCAAAGTTAATGTACGAACAATTTGTGACAATAGTTCTAACAAAATTGATTGCTTGGTGTTTAGAAAGCATTGAAATATGATAGAGCAAATTCCTCCTGATACCCAAAACTTAAACAAGGTTAAGAAGTAACCTTTAAAGTAAGAAGTAGTAGAGTTTCACTTCTGAAGGCAATTTAATCTTCCTCAGTACAACACGATGTTCAAATACTCGTAAGAGGGAAATGCTGCTTGTTTACTAAAATCAAGTAGTAACAAATAACATGCTTATTCAGATAATGAGGTTAGCCAAGATTTTTATATTTTCTTTATATATTACTTTTTAAATAAAATTGTTTAAAAGTAATATACATGTGTGTGTGTAATAATAATGAAACATTATTAATAGAAACAATAAAACATGGTTAATGTGTACTAGCAGATGTAAATAATTATACTATTAAACCTAAAAAAGATACTTGATCCCCGATTTGTAGAGTATAATTAATAAAAAAGATTATAAAACAATAATATCGATTTAAAAACTGCAAGACACATTGGTATTGTGTTGTGCAATAAGTAAAAACAACTATCCCTTATTCATATTAACAATTATTGAAAAATGGGTTCGAGCTCAATGTGATAACAAAATTATATCAAATTTAACACAATTTTTGTTTAATACTGATACAAGGCTTTTTTTTTATTAATGTGACATTCCAGTCCCTTTGATATTTATTCAAATTCGACAACAAATTAAACGGAAGAACTGAAAAAAAAACAATTCTCCCTTTTTTTTTTAATATTAAAACCTGCACCTTTGAAATAAGGAAAGTCAATAATCTTAAAATAAAAGGCTCATTGAAGAAGCGAAAGACAAACGTATAAAAAAATTGAAAATTTAACATTATGATTGATAAATATAATATATATTTAAATTAGAATAATTCAAAATTATTCATAAAATGCCGTAACTACATAAGTCTAATTTTATATAGCATAAAATGCAATATATTTCACTTAAGATTTAGAGGAACTACAGTTTCCCAAGGAAAAAAAAAATTAAAGCAAGGACTCAGTCAAATTCTTGAACAAAGCCTCAACAAGTAAAAAAAAAGAAATATTAAAGTATAATATATATAAAGCATGTCAAAAAAATCATGTTAAATACACTTCTCCTTTTTTTTGTTCCATAAACTGATCACTTGCCGAATAAATTTATTTGGAAGCACACATTTACATTTAAAATGTAATTAAACATTAAAAATGGGTATATAATGGACTTGGATCGATCTCTGATGGACACACAAGCACATTATACTGTATTACAAATACTTTATAAATAAAATGAATATTCAATATTTCTAATTTTAACAAGGAGAAGTGTGTTGTATTTCACATACAAAAAAAAAATAAAAAAAAAATAAAATACCTGTCGACAGGTACAAATTCCATGCAATTCAAATAAGAAACCAAGCAAATTAAAATAAAAAAATAGCAACCACATAAGCCCTATTAAAACATTCAAATTACAAACATTAATGTATGAAGGCCTCTTTGAGTTATTAATTAATTTCAACAAAAGACTTAGTCATAAAAAAAGAAAGACGTTTATATCATATAAATCTTTAGGAATATCCTAAAGTGTACAGTCTTATTCATGTGTATTTTGATCACCCTTATTAACTAAATAAAGTAACTTTATAATTGATTATAAAAAAAGTTCATTAACAATACAATTAGAATTAAGTCTTTGAATTTGTTACGTACTAAATTAAGATCTTGATTACAATATTTTTTTAAAATTTCATAATGAAATCACTTTTAATATACTTGGTATTTTTTAAATTTCAAGTATATTAATTTCTTAAGCATTATAACATGACTTTATACTAAAATTCAGTCTTTTTCTCCAGTCTCTTGACTTAAATGCATAACTTACACTTTTTAAGTTTTTAAGGTAATTAAACAAAAAAAGCAACAATCAAATATGGCTTTTTTTTCTTGAAGAAGTATCAGATCTTCTTTCAAAGTAATTGTAAGCAATGAAAATCCGTATTACTAAAATTCACAAAACTTTGTACTTAGCAAAACCTGAGGTATCGTCATAATATAAAATATGGGAAAATAATCAATACAGCTGTTAAACATCTGAATTCCCACAAATATTCTTTTAAAATAAAAATGTGTACTGTCATAACCACATTGAATGGGTTATATTATTCAATCATGGACATGGGTAAGCTCCCAGATAAAAATGGTATAAAATTTCACTACAATTGAAAATATTTTGTATCACTTTGGATTGTCACAAAATATGGTTAAAATTAATCTTATATAGGATTGTCATCTTAAAAAACTTGAATTCTGTTATTTCCAAAATCGACAACTACGACCTTTCCATCTGGTGTCAAGCAAACTCCACTCGGACGATCCAATTGTCCAGGCTCTTTACCAGCAGTTCCAAACTGCCATAGGAAACTTCCGTTTTGTTCAAAAATCTGTATTCTGTTGTTTCTTGAATCTGCAACTATTATCTTGCCCTCGTGATCGACAGCTACACCTTGCGGACGTAAGAATTGCTTTGCCGCAGAGCCCTCTGTACCCAAAAAGCGTGCATTGCGGAAATTTGGATCAATAACGACAAGTCGATGATTATTGAAGTCGGTCACGATGACACAGCCTTTTGCTCCAAAACAAACACCTCTTGGGGAGTCAAAATGTTTCACCATGTTGGTAGTATTTTCGAATCCATATTTGCATAGGAAAGTTCCATCAATTGAAAATAATTGTATACGATGATTTCTTGTGTCTGAAACTACTATTCTTCCTCTTGAATCTACATCGATGTCCCATGGGTAATTGAATTGACCAATCTTTGAGCCTTTTTCACCAAATGTGAAAACAAATTGACCTTCTGGTGTGAATACTTGAACTCTGTGATTATCTTTATCTGTTACGACAATCCTTCCCAGAGGATCTACTGCCACTGAAGCAGGACGGTCAAAGTAACCTGGTTCCGAACCGTGGGAGCCAAATTTTCTCAGAAAAGTACCATCACTTTTAAAAATTTGTATTCTATTATTACTCCTGTCAGCTGCAATTATGTTGCCCTCAAAATCACAGCAAACGCCCCAAGGTCTGCACAACTGTCCGTCTTGTTCTCCTTCACCCCCAATAACGACATGGGGGCGTCCTGCATCTGTGTAATCTCGTGGAGTCCTCCTCATGAGTGAAATGCTGTTTATTGTTCTGTTACGTGCCAACATTCTGTGGTATGGTAAACCGAGTTCAATTTTGGGTTTAAACGGAGATGAAGACCAGAGACTAAGCTTATCATCTTCCATAATAGAGGGAATAGAATTGGAGCTACTCTCAGTCGGTGGTAAAAATGGTGACAGTCCATCAGCAATCGGTGCAACATCATTTTTGTTCGGAAAAAAGGGTGTTATACGAGTGCCAATATTTCTTAAAATGCCTTCTACAATAGTCGATGGAGGGCATCCAGAGCATGTTACATCACCCATATTATTCAGTGCCAGTAGAAATGAAGCGTCTGGTGGAATAAAAGTAATTTCATCATCAATATGGTGCATACCAGAACGGATGCTTCTAATTTTTTTGAGCTCGGTGAATGAGTTTTCTTTTGCATGAAGAATATCAATCGGACTTCCGACTTCCAAAACATCAGACAGCATTTCAGAAGTGTTCGAATAACAGCTTAGCACAGCTCTGAGACCGTCAATCTGTTGTTGGATCGCCTTTTGCTTCATAACTCTAATTTTGTCAACTTTCATCAATAAATCCCTTTCCCTATCTTCGAGAACTACTTTAGCCTTTCTTATCATTGTTCTAATTTCTCTTCCTACTTCATGACTTTTCAAGTTTACAGAATCGATCATTCTTTGTGAAATATCTAAACATTCTTTTACTGATTGAGCTCCCATTTTCGCATCTGTAATCAGCCTGACCGATGCTGCTCTAGCACCTTCGATCGCATCTTGGAGGTATACAAAAGAATGCCCTCTATGTTCTCTCATAGTACATTCACCACATATTGACGTGCAGCAGGTATCACAGTAAAGTTTAACAGTTTCTGTCAAATGTATATCACAATGCGTACTATCATTTAAAATTGTGCTATTGGGACTTCCGCTGCTGGCGATCGACGAAGCGTTATTGAAAGTTGGACTTTGCTGAGAATCGGTAATACGTACAATGCAATGATCCTTTGTCAGTTTAACTCTAATATGAGCTCTTACACAGCTATCACAAAGTAATTCGTCACAATCTTTACATCTTGAGGTAGCTTTCGCACATTCATCACAGTTGTGGCAAAGACATTGGGAATCATTTTTATCTTGAAGAAGATCATTGAGCAGAAGGTCTTCCGGTTCGAGAGGGCATAAATTACCAAGGCATTGTAGTATTGTGTTATGATCAGAAAATGTTGTTGCCATATCCTGCAACAAACAAAAAATAACAAATAATTAGTACAAGATAGTAAAATCTGATATAACAGCACAATTAAAACTAATTAAAAAGGGTGATTAAGAATTTGAAGATGTTGTAATGCAAAGGTTTTTGAAGTTAATAACAACCAAATAAAAATGGGTATATGTTGGGAAACTAGAGACCTAAAAAGGAACATCTGTGGGCTTTCTGTAAGCAGCCTGTAGCAGCCAGACAAAAAAAAAAAAAAAACCTGTAACCTTAGCTGGCAATATGAGACCACTTAAATAGTGACAATCACAATTTGTCGATTATTTTCTTTGTGCCAATTAGAGTTCGCTAAAAAGACTAACTTAAATCAGATTCTTTTCTTAATAAGAGTAATATTCTGTAGTACTTGACGGTTACCATGGCTACTAATTGATATTGCTCGGCTGGAGGGTAGTGAGCATTACCTATTTAGATGACACCCTAGGATCGGAGGGTGGAATAAGTAAGGATAAGTCGCAAACGCCCAGATTATGTTATCCCAAGTCGAAAATAACCGGTAAACGATCTTCAAAGCTGTAATTAGTGATTGGAGTTTTAGTGTCAAAATCACGCTGAAATCTTAAGTTCAACGAAGCCTTTTTGGCGGAAGATTTTTACCACTTTTTTTGGGTTAAGGGAGCTGTTTGAGCATCCTATAATTTTTCCCGCCAGTTAAATTATCATGTAACCGGGCTTTTCTTCGTCAAAATATTTTAAAGGAGAATCTTTTTACAAGGCGGTTTTCTTAATGAAGTGATCGATGTATTCCGTCGGGGCTTAATTTTCGTAAAATTCGTCGTGACGCGCTCAACTCACACTTGGTATGTTTTTGGCTATGTATTGCGTTAAAAAAATCTAACGTAATCTTGTAGGTTTGGGGGAGAGGCAGGCCAAGGAGAGAACCAGTCATTTTCCCTGGGCCCCACATCATTAGGGGGTAGGTAGTCGTTTCGGGACGGAACATTTCATGAACTTCCTATAGAGCTCTTTATATTATTGGCTGACATGCCGATTGAGATTGGTTCCACTTCGTTAGAATAAAAGCAGGATTTGAAATTGAGACCGTCGGGGGGGCCGGCGTTTTTGAAAAAAGTCCCATTTGTAAGTATGTCGGGTTCGAAAGTAGGGCCGCTGGATTTGAACCCCGGGACCTTTACCTTACAGTGATGAGCGCCGTGTCAACGCCTAAACCGTTGCGGCCACGAAAGCACATGGTGGTAGATTTTTTTTTAATGAAATGGTTGACATTTCAAAACCTGTTCGAAAAGCTTGATGAACGCGAAAGTTTAATTGTTTAAATGTTTGATTTTCCTTATTAGCAAGGTTCTTGTCGATTTTTATGGAAAGTGCCAAGACAACATGTGGAATTTGAACGAAAATCGCAGAAAACGGGCACTGAATCTTCATTTTTCATTGCTAATTTGATTTGAGATCTCTGAGAGTTTCAATTAATTATTATTTTATGTAAGGTCTTTGTTGAGATGAAAAAGTTAGTGTCAGTAGCGGGATTTTCATAAAAGAATAATTAATTGAGATACTATGATCAATTGGACCACTAAACATACATGGATCTCTGATAGTATTGACACACTGAAGATGCTGATGGAATGCGTCTTGTCAGACAATGATCAGTAACGGTCAAATTACAGGTTCACTACCTCAAAAAAAAAGAGAGAAATCTCACATTTTCGATAAATTAATTTAAAAAATTCTGACTTTAGCGATTGTAATCACCAATTGTAATTTTTTTTAAAATAAAATGCCAGCCGCGTCTGTGCCAAACACCTTTGCCAGAAAAGTGTTCCCGCCACGACGCAAAGGTTGGCAAATATATTTGTCTTTCTTTTACGATCCGAGGTTTTTAGAACGAAATGCGACAAAACGGCCACAATTTAGAAAATTTTTATTTAAAGGACTTTCGACGGGAATTTCTTCTAATCCGTTTAAAATCGGAAACGGCCTTAAATTGCCAAATTCCCGAATGACCGTACAAGAAACGTTCATTTAGAAACGGATTTCGGACAATTGATGCCAACGAGCCTTCACACTATTCCGCCTAAAAGAGTGTCTATATTTAGAATTGAACTATTATTAGATAATTGTTATCTTTAAATTTCTTTCGTCAACTTGGTTCTCGTTTTTGCGTACGCGTATTTCGAACCGGTGGTTTCCAGGGTTGATATTCAGCCTCTTTACAAAGAACCCGCCGAACTACGTAAAGTTAATATTTATTTTTAAAAGATTATAAAAGTACAAGAGACAGTGTACTACGTCTGAGCGAGAGAAAGAGAGAAAAATCTGTTTAAGATAACTATTGTAGCGATTAAGGCCTTAAAGAATAAAGAAGATAAGAAAAGCAAATTTGTTCTAAAAAAAAATTAAATTAAACACTAGTTGCCGTAATTAATTTATCTTCTCCACAATGAAAACATTTCAGATAAGATTCAAAACAAATTTATTTTACTGCTATACTAAATTATCGATAAATCGTCGATTAAGAAAAAAAAATATTTTAAATGATTTACATAACGTATTTCTAGTTTATTACAGTCGATTTTTTAAATTATTTATTTTATTATTATCATCGCGTATTAAATTAGATTAGAGACATGTACGAATTTTCACAGCAATACAAAAATTTTCATTTTTGGGCTGTATTATCCTGGAGGGTCAATATTTTCTCGCTGTTGGCCAGTGTTCCACTAAAAAATCCATAGGTCCTCTGGATTTTATCCAAATTCAACGTAATTATAATTTGATTATTAGAGATCCTGAGATGCCGTCTGGCGTGAAGTAGGTTTAGAAAAACATTTTCTTTATCGTGCCAACATGTCGATCTTTATTGACATTATCTTCAGGGCCTGGGTTTATAAATATTGTTTAAATGTATGTAAGGTCTTGGGTGAAATGAAAAGGTTATGTGTCACGAGCGGGATTCGAACCCACGACCTTCGGCTCAATTCGCCGCTGCTCTTGAACTAACTTTTTCATTTTAACCAAGACCTTACATACAAAGAATAATTAATAGAAATAAGTAATGTGGTCAATCAGACCACTAAACATAATGGATTGTTTAAATGTTATGCATGTAAGATGTGAATATGTATTTATACACGATATAGAAATTTTAGGTTTAATCAAAGTATTTGTACACACTCAAAGTGTTACACAGACAACTGTGTTACTCACAAGAATGACACATCTACACAGGAAACACACTTTGAGCCCTGAAGATGATCTCAATAAAGATCGAAACGTTGGCACGATAAAGAAAATGTTTTTCTAAACCTAAATCACACCAGACCGCATCTCACGATCTCTAAATAATCATTAATTAACGAGCACTAAATACTACGCACAACCGTTGGAAAGCAAGCAGACCTCTTCACTTTCAACTTATGTCATCAAATTTTGGATCTATAGGTTTCTAAAATTCTACCCAATATGTACAAATATTTTTTGAAACTAATGAAATACCAAAAAAATTCGAAAAAGTATGTGTTTTTACGGTTTTTAGTTTTTCACCCTACCGGTTTAGGGACGAGTTTAATAGTTGGGGAATGGGTGTATTCGACTAATTCAACTAGATCTTAACCACCTATCGGTTCGTAGATTGTATCATGGCAGCCATAAAAATATACATTACAGAGGTTTCCAGAGGGAAATTTTTTCGCTCACCGATGTCCGGTGTTCCAATTGAACAGTTCATAACTCCTCTGTACTTTATCCAAATCCAACGTTATGACGACCGTTGGAAAGGTGAACAGGCTTTCTTTCATCTTATGTCAAAAGCGTTTATATGAATTTAATTTTGGAAGTTAGAAATTTAAGGATAAAATCAACAAAAACACCCCAAAAGTTTTGTTTTATATCCCCAATTCTAATTTAATGCCGAATTTATACCATTACGTAGTTTAAAGTGTTCTAAATTTTGGTTAAATTTCTATGGATCCCTGGAGCCGTTTGAAAGTTATGACCAATTTTGTGTTTGAATTTGAAATAAAAATCGAATGCCAAGCATTATTTTTTGATACATCCAAAAATTTGTATTCAGGGTTGTTTAGGATGCTAAAAAAAAAACAAATCGACTTGGTGTTTTGGTAAAAATGATATTTTAACCTTCTTTCCTAAAACGTGAAAAAACTCAATCACACGAAAAGGATCAAACTACTGCAAATTAAAGCTATCTATTGAAATTTTATTTTGTGTCAGAGTGACGTAGCAAAATGGGTTAAAAAAATTAAGCACAAAACAAAAGTTCAGTCGTTTTTTGCACCTAAAAACAACTTAATAAGATTTTTTGGGAAAATCAAAGAATACTTTATCGGTAACATTTGTCGCCTTTGATTTTTTGAAAACAATCATACTCGGTATATCTTTGAAACGAACTCACCGTTCGACAGGAAACTCCACAGGGGTTTAAGACTCAAAAAATTTCACCCTTGGCATAAATTCGGTCACAATAAATACGCAATAAATGGAGATATAAAATAAAGCGTTTGAAGGATTGATACTTTCATCCTTATTTTTCTCATATACAGCTCGTGTTTTTTGCCAGTAGGTTCTGCATTTAATATGGACTCAAAAATTAACTTTGGTCCGAATCTCAGCAGTTTCGTAGTTATTCCATTTTTTCTGATTTTTTAATATTTCACGACCTTGATTCAAATAAATGATGATAACTCCAAAACTGAAAGGTTTTAGACAAATCCGTTGATACCATTGAAAACTACGTTAAATTTCCAATAAGATGTGATAAATACTAAACTTGTTTCATGTTATGTGTGTTTCATGTTATTTAACATGTTAACTTGTTCATGTTCATAAATACTAAACTGTTCATGAAATAAGTGTTTTAATAGCCAGAACTTTGAAAAAGAATTTCACAAGAAAGTTGACAAACTTACTATGGTGATTTTAAATTTCTAGATGTTTGAAAAATTAAAAAGTAATTACACCACTAAAAAGATATTAAATGGAGTATGTTTACTGAAATTTCTCAAGGTTTGGAAATAGTAGTTTCGAACCACCATAGTAAATTTTCCAACTTAAATTTTTTAAAAATGTTCTTGCTACTAAAATGCTTATTTCACGAACGTTTACAAGTTTAGAATTATTCACATCTGATTGGAAATTTAACGTACTCGTCAATGGTCTCAACGGATTTGTTCAAAACCTTTTAGTTTTGGAGTTATCATTGTTTATTTGAAGCAAGGTCGTGAAATCTTAAAAAATCAGAAAAAGTGGAATAACTCCATAACTGCTGAGATTCGGACCATAGTTAATTTGGACTTTTTGGTTTCAGTTTGACTGTATAATATACTGGCAAAGTTTGTAAAACGAGTAGCCGAATGTATAATGAGAAAAATCCAAAGGTTGGTGCTATACTCTCAAAGAAGAGAAATTCAACTTTCAAACAGCCGTAATGTAACAAATTTGGATAAAATCAGTGTTAGGAACTTTTCAGTGAAACACATCGGAGAAACAAAAACTACCACCCCACAACGAATCCGGTCAAAAAATGTATATAATTAATTTCTAAAACGTTCACATTTAAAACCTCTAAAGGGTACTTAAAACAAATCCGATTTTTTTAAACAAATTTTGTTGGCATGTTTTACTTGAACTGTCGTTTTTGTATATATATGTATTTACTCCAGTTTAATACTTTCCTGAGTATTATTTTCTTATCCTGGTGAAAAACAAATCTATTGATACATATTAACTCCATTATATTTAGTGGTCTATTGATCAAATTACTTCTTCAAATTAATTAATCTTGTTATGTAAGGTTTTAGTTGAAATGAAAAAGTTAGTCACAAGCGGGATTCGAACCCACGACCTTCGGATCAATACAGCGCTGCTATCTAACCACTTGAGCTATCGTGACTTCCACTCAATTAATCAATAACCTTGAAACACATGCAGAAAATCACAACAAATGCAGAAAATCTGATTTATGCTCTAACTTGTCTAATATTTTTAAGAGTCCGTAGAATTCGGCGATCCCACGTCAGTACTCCCCTTAAAAGTGTAAACAACCCAATAGAAAAAAATTGCAAAGATACACAATCCGCCAAATCCCCGAAATCAATGCCTGTATTTTTTGCTAATAAGACTTAAATTGATGAAATAAAAGAATGTGAGAATGGGACGTAAAGATACGAAAGAAGAGATACAAGAAAGAGAGAAGAGCGTCTCCAAATTGATTATCTACATAGATAAAGTGAGTTAGCTCGTATCTGTTTATGTATGAAATTTACATCATGCTGGAAGATGGATTTTATTGACTTTGGTCGTAATGGGCAATATAAAATCATACCGCCTTGGTCAACTTACATTTTGATTTAATGAGAACTCTTCATCGCGCATAGAAGAAGTCATCTCGCCTAAAACAAATCAAAATCAACGGGGTCAGACTCATCCAACGGCCAAGGGAGGAAATAAAATATTGAAAGATAACAATTTTTACAGAACCCAGTTAAAAAAAATAAATAAAAATAAAAACAAAAAACTTCAGCACTAAAGAAACTTTTTCTTTCTTATTTAACCACCTTGCTTTATTGATGAAAGTGGTAAAATTGAGACATGCTCGAAATCCTACCCTAGGCGGATTGGCCTGAATTAAAAGAGATAAAAAACGCTCAGAGAATTATCTGTTCTGCCCCACGATACCCCTTATATAATTGATAAAAAATGCCTAATGAATCACTAACAACTTTTAATCGTATAATTTACAGAAAGATGCCGTCTGTAAGTTTATGAATTGAAACTAGCACGGACAGTTGCCAACCACCCAAGGGTACTATTTCCGAACAGAAAAAATTAATTAGGAAGATAGTCGATTAAAATGGAAATTTTAATTTTAATACACCCAGTTGAACAAAATACGTTCTAATTTTGCTGAATAAATCCGCCTTTTTTTCTGGCCAGTGAGAAAAATCAATCTAGTCACAAACCCCTATGAAGTATTCGCCCTTCAGTATATCCGGTGGGCAAGGCAACAACATCTGGGAACTAATCTTCAGAAGTCTCATGTCAAGACAACACACGTCACTAACTGTTCTTACTTTTTTCCTACATCAAGCTCATATCCGTATAACACAAGACTAATTGATTACGTCTTAATATAATTTTTTTCGAATCACTATCTAGAAAAATATTGATAATGTTACTGCAGAAGAAGAGTAGTAAACAACAAATCTGTGATTCCGTGAAACAACAAATTCTATTGGCCAAAAGTAAGAGAAGTACTTTTAATTAGCTACACAAATTTTAATTCAACTGTAAACATAATAGATTAGGTTTTAAGACAAAGTCGCAGTTATCTGTCATCCTGCAGACCAATCCCGATGTACTTCCATTTTCTAATAATGGACACGTCTATAATCTTGATCAATTTGCTTCTTTACAATCAACATTTCATGTGAATTCTTGCAATTACAAAAGACAAAACTCGCAAAATATTTATTGCAGTTTGTCCAGAAAAAAGGCAAGCCTGAACTAATTATGTGTAAGCAGGGTGGTAGCTTCTGGCCGCGGGTGCCCGGCCTGTTCTTCCAGTTTGACACCAGTTCAGAAAATACACTTTTTGAAACGATAAAAATTAAATATTTTATCTATAGTTACGTCAAATAAGGAGATAAATAATAAATGAACTGCCAGGGTTGAATAATGCAGGAAAACTATGTTATCTTTATGAACTATTCTTGGGTCGATAGTATTTCACATTATAAATATAACTCGAGCAAATTCTCCTCATAAAAATTCAATTGGGTAAACTCAAAACTCCTTCCGAGAAAAATAGTTTTCGAACCTTTATCTTCTAACACAAGTAGTGTCTTTATGTTGTTATGAGATAAAGTTCTTGGAAAATATTCTGTCAACTTTCGATAAAAACACCCTTTGTTGTCCTGACGAGAAATCATATTATTGTAAACAATTGAACTAAACACAAGCCTTAAAATAAAGTAAAAAATACTTTTAAGTCAAGCTGGTTATTCACACGAAAACATGTTTTAACGTAGATTTGTTTTTGGGCCGGATACACAATTTTCGCGGTACCGGGTGTGCATGTGGGTTGGTTAGGTGAAGGTTAAGTTAGGTTAGGTTTAAGCATAAGTTAAGTAGGGTTAGATTACATACCCATGATCCAATGTTTTGGAGTTTTTTTCTCTCTTTTGTTATTACTTTTTATTTAGTTGATTACAGGATCGATTTCGGACTTTTCCGCTTTTTGGAAAACATAGTGTGCGATTTACTGCAGTACTAAAGGTTACATGGAATAACCTTCACACTATTTTTATAAACTGCTAAAAAGTTAGTGGAAACAACTTTGAGAAGAAAAAAAAATTGTTAATTGCTACTCAGACAAAAATATTTGAGGGAACGTTGTATTTAGTTAGACCTGAAAACAAAGCTATAGACAAATAATAAAATGTCTGAATTTCAATGAATGTTTGTTGTTTCAATGAATTTATACAAAGAGCCTAATCCAAAACTTATTGCAGTGTAAACATTTTTATGGGAAAACAGTAAATTTAGAAGATAATAGAAAAAATAAAGACATTGTTACTGGTGAGATGTTTCCCCGTGAGATTTTTTCTTCTAGTGATTATTAAACGTTACAGATATGTTCTACAGGTTGATAACTTCTCCTAAGACAATTACATTTTCCTCATAGAATGCAAAACAACTCGTCATCAGAAGGATTTTAACATGCCAAATTAAGGACTTGCTGTATTTTTAATTGAAACCCATCTAATGTTTTTAAATTATCTTTCATTGCTGATTTCCGAAAGGTACGGTATTCCTAAATAAGTTTAAGAGGGAAGAACGTCCACAGCCACACTTTAAGCTAATTTACCAGCCTTGTGACATTATATTTTTACACCTAGTTAAGGACATTGTTANACATTTTCTTTATCGTACCAACGTTTCGATCTTTATTGAGATCATCTTCAGGGCCTTGTGTTGTCTGCATTTCAGCAAAAAAGTTCTCTGATTGATGGCCGATGCGAGTTTCTTCTCATTGTTGGCGATGTCCTTCAGAATACTTTTAGCTACGTGTCCGTATTTAGTTGAAATTTGTTCATAGAATCCCATATTCTTCGTTCTTCTCGTGTAGAAATGTGTAGAGATTAGTGACCGTTAATCGATAATTATTCAGATATCGTGAAGGACATCGCCAACAATGAGAAGAAACTCGCATCGGCCATCAATCAGAGAACTTTTTGCTGAAATGCAGACAACACAAGGCCCTGAAGATGATCTCAATAAAGATCGAAACGTTGGCAAGATAAAGAAAATGTCATTCTGAAACCTACATCACACCAGATCGCATCTCACGATATCTGAATAATTAAGAAGAAAATGTTGTCTACTTCTTTGATAAAACGTTCTGTATTAATTTTCCTTAGTTATTAATATTTTTTAGTGTTTTTATTCATTGTGCGTCGTGCATTTTCATAGGCATGGACCCGGAATTACAGGAAAATAAATATTGGGATTTAGTCTGTATTCTGTGGGGTGTTGGTAGTTGGGGATGTTCTGATCATTTCACTCATTTCGGATTTTGGCCAGCTTCAGTGGTCAGTCTTTGGGTTATTTTGAACATACCCACCACTGGGTCACGATGAACGTCCCAAGCTAAAACCAAATTAAAGACCGAAAGAACTTGCATTGTGAGGTTACTATTTTTTCTTTTGAACCATGAAAATATCTAGCCATTTCATGCATATCAAGCACGCCATGGAACCAAATATTGACTGTTTGGAGGACTGGTTCGATGTCCCTGGTCTATTGTCCGTTTCCAAAGGGTCAAAATCCTTTTTCCTCCTTTAGTTCCTTTTTTCGTTATTTCTAAGAACATTATTCTGAAAACGCCCTAGGCCCTACCTGCCACCAGGTCGAACAATGAGACTAACAGAATTTTACCTGTTGGTGAATTGGACTATCCTTCTGAACCCGGAGCATTTCCCACTTGCCTTAATTTAGAAGGCTCGTGAAAAGGTCTCCCCCTTTCACGACCGGGAGGCAGGAATACACATCCCGATGTATTCAAAACTACATTTCTATTTCTATTCGAAAATTCCGAACAGGATTCATAGTTTGAAAGAAAAGAAGTATCACGAGGTTATTATTAGAGTATCCTCACCAATTATCTCAAATGTGTTTTTCTTTTGCCTAATTTTAGAAATTGATCATTTGTGCAGTGGCCTACGGTTTTGTCAACAGTTCGAACATCCTATTCTCGCTCTATATATTGAAACTAAATGATAATACTCATACATATATACTAAATAATAATACGTCACTATAGCTCAAGTGGTTAGAGCAGCCGAAGGTCGTGGGTTCGATTCCCGCCCGTGACACTAACTTTTTCATTTCAACCAAGACCTTAAAAACAAAGAATAATTAATTGAAAAAAGTAATTTTGTCAATCAGACCACTAAATGTAATGGACTAAATGAAAATGCAAATTTAAACTGAACAAAAACGAGCCATATATGAGAACACACATCTTGTTTAATCTATATAAAAATATTATTTGAATCATTTCTTTATTAACTGCAAGACTTATTTTTCACATTACAAATACAGCTTTAATTTTTGAGATCCACTTTTAAAAAAAGTACGTGTTCAGATTTGATTTAACCTTAGCCAAACTAGTTCAAAGAAATGTTGTTTTATCTTATCTGATGACAACTTACCAGAAAGAAACTACATAATGGGTCAATTATATTGAAATTATTTACGGCAAAAAGCGAGAACAGGGATACACTGTTCCAGCCCATGCGGCATTGCCTACTATTTTATCATGAATCAAACAGACATTAGACTTTTTTTTATCTAATAAATTTTTAAAATTGTTTGGTTAAGGGCTAACGGTTTTAATTTTTTTCAAATAGTACCGACACGCTATCAAGATTATAGATTTTTAAAATATTTATTCACTATTTTTCGTGGTCCGCTTGACCAATTAATAACATTCAATTAATTGAGGTTTTAAGTTGGTCACGATAGCTCAAGCGGTAGAGTAGCGGCGTATCAAGCCGAAGGTCGTGGGTTCGAATCCCGCTCGTGACACTGACTTTTTTATCTCAACTTAAAACCTTAATTAATTTAATATTTATTTTATTTGGGTAATATTAGTGACCGTTAGGTAACAACACTCAACAGTGACACATATACACACAGAAAACACCACACTCTGAGCCCTGAAGATGATCTCAGCAAAGATCGAAACGTTGGGACGATAAAGAAAATATTTTTCTAAACTCACATCACACCAGACCGCAACTCACGATCTCTAAATAATCATTTATTTTATTCCTTTCTCTGTAAACCGTCTTTTAAATAGTGAAACTAGTTTTACTCGTCTCCGACC